TTCATAGACATTCAAGTAGTAAAGGGTGGAGCTCAAAAATGAATTCAGGTACTCTGAGTCTTGAATTGTGTGCACTTAACCAACCACAGAGCACTTAACCAACCACAAAAGTATTTCAGTTTTCTTTGACACATCTTTAATGACTGCTTGCTGATGACTATATTATCATTCAAAAACTCAAGCTTGTTTATGTAAATAGGTCATTAGAGAAAGAAGGGCCTAAAAAAATCCCAAATAGATAAGCCACAGAACTAGCAAACTGCCATATAGTATGTGTATACTCTTAAAGCAAGAATTTCCAAGGGCTCAAACAGAAGGCTCCCCAGAGTGGCTCACCATGCTCAGTGATAAAACACAGAACTATCGTGAGAAGGTGCTCTTCACACTACAGACAGAGGTATCCCCTCCCGCTTACCCCATTTAAGGCTGCCATTCAGACTTTTCACAATAAGCTGAAGATTCAGAAATAGAATAATTTTTCCATGTTGATTCTTCCATCACTTCCCACAAATAAGAATATTAAAATTATGTAGATATAAAAAGTTGGCATAAAAGACAATACAATCATAGAATTTTACAGGATAGGAACTCAAACTGTTCATATTGCAGAAGACCTGAAGAGGCTGCTGAGTGCTTTACCCAGGGTTACACAGACAATTAAGAGCAGAACACAATGCAAGTTACTCTCAATCCAGTTTATGCATATCACCATGCTGTCTTGATGTGCCCTACTATATAAAAGTCTCATCCCCTTCAAGAGTCATTTGAGGGGCGCCTGGGTGGCTCAGTCGGTTGAGCGGCTGCCTTCGGCTCAGGTCATGATCCTGGAGTCCTGGGATCAAGTCCCACATCCGGCTCCCTGCTCAGCAGAAAGCCTGCTTCTCCCTCTGCCTACCACTCTGCCTACTTGTGCTCTCTCTCTCTCTGTCAAATAAACAAATAAAATCTTTAAATAAAAAAAAAAGTCATTTGAGAATTTGTTCAGATGCATCAATACAAATCTGTATTTTTATTGATACATTACAGATCTATACACACCCTCTACTGACAGCTATTTGAACTCAACCTGAAATAGAATTTTTTAAAAATCACAAAGCACTTTTAAAAGCTTACCGTTGAGATTCAACAAATACTAATTTATCTATTTTGATTTTCCAAATACTTCAAAAGTAAACAGATCAGCCTTTCTTGTCAAAATATCTAAATCCGTGTTTCTCAAAGTACAGTAGGTCCCAGAATCAGAGTCACATGAGGTACCTGTTAAAAATGAGATTCCTCGGGGTGCCTGGGTGGCTCAGTCTGTTAAGCATCTGACTCTTGATTTCAGCGCAGGTCATGATCTCAGGGTCATGAGATGGAGCCCTACACTGGGCATCCAACTCCGCATGGAGTCTACTTGAGATTATCTCTCTCCCTCTGCCCCTCCCCCTGCTCTCATGGGCACGCTCTAAAATAAATGAATAAATAAATTTTTTAAAAAAATGAGATTCCTAGTATCACCCCCAAATCAACTGAGGTTCTGAAACTCCCAAAATGGCATTTTAAAAAGTTCTCCAGATGATTCTTATTCATTCAAAAGATATTTATTGAATATTCACTCTACAATATTCTAGTAGGAAACAGATAAAGGAGTAAAGAAAAACAAAACATTTTAGATTTTAGCTGTGCAATGAAGAAAAAAAGATAATGAGAGTGACCTGGAGGACTACTTTAAAAAGAACAGTGAGGCACAGGGTTTTTAGGGTGATGAAAATACTCTGTATGGTATTATAATGATGGATACATGTCATTATACATTTGTCCAAACCCACAGAATGTACAAACACTAAGAATGAGCACTAATGTCAACTATGGACTTTGGCTGATTATGATAGGTCAATGTAGGTCCATCAACTGTGACAAATGGACTGCTCTGGTGGGAGATATTCATAATGGGGGAGGCTGTGCATGTGTGGGGGCTGGGGATAAACGGGAAATTCCTATTTCTTCCTCTTAATTTTGCTATAAGCCTAAAACTACTCTAAAAATAAAGCCTTAAATTTTTTTTTTTTTAAAGGGGAGACAGAGAAGGCCTTTCTGAGGAGGCAACATCTGAAGTGAGGAACCCTTCCCTAAAGAAAAGTACTTAAACTTAGCGTGCATCAAAATCACCTGGAGGACTTGTTAAAACAGATGGCTGGTCAGAAGGTCTGGAGTGGGGCCCAAGAATTTGCATTCCTAACAAGATCACAGATGATGTTGGTGCTGCTGGTCCAGAAACTACACTTGGAGAACCACTGATCTAGAAGGAACAGCTAAAAAGTGTGAATAACTTTGGTGTGTTAGAGGAACAGAAAAAAGGCCAGTTAGAAGGAAGGGTAATGCATTTGTCATTGTTTCAAAACCACCTAACATGTTGACTTAAGTTACCAGTTATGGCTCCCTAGACCAGAGAAGGAACCAGTGTTCCATAATACTCACATTTGCAAAGCATTTCACAGTTTATAAAAGTATTTTCACATTTATTATTTCATTTGACTTACTGAGATGTAAGTAAAGGACTATTAGATACATTTTAGAAATAAACTGAGGCGCAGAAACATTATAAACCTCCTTTACAGAAAACAGTTAAGTGGCAGAACTGTCCCTTGACCCCAACCCAGTGTTCTTCTAGAATAGCATGCTTGCTTTTTTAAAGAGCAAAGCAAAGGACACATACAGGAGCTAATACTAACAAATTATTTTCTAGACTCCCTGTCTAAAAATATGGTGACTTCCAGACTTAATTTGTTTCAGTGACTGGCTGGAAAGCAACATTATCTTAAAATGACAATATTTAGTCCCATCTACTTACTGCTCCTAGTGCAAAAACAAAGGATGGAAAATGAAGAGGGAATTCACAGACTATTACTCTCTCTCTCCTGCATAAATATCAGAGAGCCAATTTCATAACCTCAAGTCCCTCAGCCACATCAGTCAAACACAATTTTCATCTTGTGTTCTCTCTCTCACCTAATCCAGGTTCCCACAAGAACACTGAATCCCACACGTCTTGCTATACTCATGAGGCCATGAGCAGTTACACCCATTATCCACCCTCTATACACCCATTATCACTTCGTATCTTCAACGTCAATCAAATCCTTATTCTTAACATAACACTCTTACCTCTATGTCTCCATACTTCAAACCCAAAACATCCATAACTGAAATTATATTCTCCTTCCACCACACACACACCTGCTTCTGTTCCTGAATTCTTTTATTTGCATTAATAGCACTGCCACCCACCAAACAAGAAACCTGGAACTCAGCCTAGACACATCTGTCTCCCCCACACCAATCTTGACACCCCCCATCCACATTCCCATGGCTACTTAGAATTAGTTACTACTACGAATTAAGTAGCTGCCATTTCATTAATAACTACCATGCACTGGTCACTTTACACACTTCATTCTATCAATAACCCCATGAGGTAGGTAATTCTGTCCTTATTTCACAACTGAAAAAACTAAGGCTAAGAAAAATTAATCTGTCCAAATCACAAGTGGGACATAACAAAGTAGACATCCAAACTCAAATGTGTCTCACAAAGTCCGTAACTTTCCCCAATGCCAAAATGCTTCCTTCTTTAATACCTCTTATCATTTAATTCCAAATGCTCATTTCTCTATATTACTGTCAAGATTCCCTTCCTCCAGCCCTGCCTCCCCTTACCCTTCAATATGCCCCCAAGTGATCTTTTTGGATCACAAATGTGATCCTTTTATCCTCTTGATAAAAAAGCCCTTCAGGGACTCCTTTTAGTCTACACTGTACAAGATACACTTTACAGGCTTAATCCCAAACCCTTTAGTACAGGTCAGCCATCTCTTACCCGCAGTTCCAAATTTCAAGAGCTTTGAAATTTTAAAGTTTTTCATAAATTTACAACAAAACCCACCCTGAATTGTGGTAAATTATTTATGTTTAGCCCATTAGTGGGATATTTGTACGTTTCATGGCAGAAACATTAATGTATTTGATAATGACTAGTTAACCTTTAGCTCCAGGTATGTGTAAAGTAGCCTGCGCCCTGAAAGCTCCCCAATCCAGTGAGCAACTCACCCTTCAAGAAACCTTCTCAAGGGTTTCCTTTTCAGTGAAGTTCCCCTGACCTTCTCTTGATTTGTCACAACCACTGTACCAAGTACCCACCGCCACTGCCGCACGTTGGGTATGTTTCACCTATATGACTATGAATGAGCTCTCTTCACTCAGAGTTTTATTCAATCCTAGCACACTGTCTGGAACACTAGGGGCTCGTTAATGTGCAATGAAACCCAGCTGTCTCTGAATCCCAATTCCCCTCAAAGTTCATTTCTCCTTCACCCCTGAACCTTAGGATATTTCCCTAAACATGTAGGCCCTTCAAAGCTATTTTCGCGTCCGGAGTTCCTCCTTCCCAATCTCATCCTAAAATTACTTTCCACCAGACAGCTTCTCTCAGCCCCAAAGCCCCAAACTCTCCAATACCCTTTATCTTCCTCTATTTAGTCCCTAGTCCTTCTTTCCCCTAGCCTCGAACAGGTCAAGTCCTTCCCTCCAAAGCAATTCGTCCTCACAACCCTTCCCGCTTACCTACTCCCTCAACACCTCTCCCGCTACAGGCCTTTTCCCCCACAACACTCCTCCAAAGCGGTTTCCCAGACCCTCTCTCCTCTCTCTGTCCGAGTCCACCAGCTCCCGAACCTGCGCTCGGCCGGAGTCCACGCCTTCCCGGCCCGTATCCGCACACCCCAAACCTCCCTTGCAGCCGGTGTCCCCTCCCCCAGCCTCTCGCCGCCGGCACCCCTCCCATCACCCTCCCCTATCTCCGGGGGTCCACCTTCTCTGGAAACTGTCCCGAGGCCATGTCTTTCACCCCTCAGAATCGCGCCGGTCCGAGCAGCCCCGGGCCCGAGCACCTCCGTCCCCAGATCCTCCTCGGCCCCGCAAATCTCCTTCAGCCCAGACCTCGGGCAGGGCCTCCCGCTCACCTTGCTGGATGTCGCCGTTGCTGCCCCCCGGGATGGGCACGCTGAGCTGGCGCTCCGGCTCGGGCAGGCAGCGCAGGCAGAAGGAGTGAAGGCAGGGCAGCAGCTTGGGCTCCGCCTCACGCCGGCTCTGCAAGCTCTGCTGACACACGGCGCAGGTGTCCAGGAGCGAGGCTGGCGGTCCAGGAGGCGGCCCCGCCGACGGACCCGGAGCGGGAGCCGAGGCTGGAGCTGGGGCCGGAGTCGATACCGCCCCCCCGGGAACTCCGGGGCCCACTGAGGCCGCAGGGACTGAGGCAGCCGGGGCCGAGCCGGAGGAGGCCGCGGACACCCCCCCGTCGTCGGGCCCGGCCGCGCCGCTCTCCGCGCCCGCCCTGCCGCCTTCCTCCTC